ACAAGTAGAAGTACATACTGTTGTAATTTGATGCTAGAAAAGTTACAGACAGAAATTGTACGTTTAGTTACATGTTGTCTTAACATATTAGCATATTCACTACCATGATTTGATTTGTACACAGAATTTTAAATATTTCACTGTTATGTATATATTATATAGATGTAATACACAAATAGATACACTATGCTTTATAATAATTTAACGTCAGAATCTGTAATGAAACCTTATTACAGCTGTTTATTGTCATCAAAAGCTTTACATACTTGGAGTATAAATAATGGAATCTTTCTTGACCGGCAACATCATTTGTTGAATCTAATTTTAAGATTAATTTTGTCTTTCTTTCAAATATTCTGCACTGGGTCCAAGACACGTTAACAAACTATTACCTGTTTATTCTAAAAACCTCTGTGCATACTTAACATGTATTGCTGCATTGTTAATGTAGCATAAGTTGAATGTTTTTAATGAAAAAGAATATCATTGTCAAAATTGGAAGAAACTGATGGTAATCAGTTAAGCAGTCTTTTTACATAATTGTTTTGTTTTCAGTGCTTCGTTACACTAAAAATTAAACGTCCAGCATTACATTACATTACATTCTCTTGATTGGGTATTTGTGCGAACAATTTCTTATTATGCATATAGCATCCTAAAATATCTCATGTTTCATCTTAATTCACAGATTTATCTCGTTGTTTAACATCACAAATTCCTTGTGGTCATTGACATGCCACAATTGACGCTTACAGACTTTACAAACACCAAATACCTTTAATAGTCGATCGAAGCTGACTCTATTTAAGTTTGTTATGATGTTTATTCTTTGCCAATGTATCCAGATTATTCATTGACATATCCACATTAGTAATCTCTTCCCAATCGAACCAGATGCTTAATATTACAAATATTTTATATTAGAGATAAATGGTAGTGAATAAGTTAATATAAAATATTCAAATATAGCCTGCTTTATTAGATTATAATTTTTATATAAAAATATTTGGCCTTATAGATCCTATATCATTGTTTAATATGAAATTTTAATCCAGAGCGTACTTGCAACTATTTTGCAAGTTTATTTATATTTAGGATTTTGTATTGAAATTCTAATGATAAGTGCAAATTATCAGGCCTACACGAAAAAGTGAATGTTTTCATAGTATACATATATATTGTTTTACATACACGTCAGAAGCAATTTTATCTAATAGTTACATGTTGTATGCATTCGATATAAATTTTGAGCAGCCATATCTATAAAACCAAAGAGTTTATTTTTGTTTACTCCATTTAAAATTTCATTAATGTATTGTTCTTACATATAGAGGGAATATAAATATTGTTCCTACAAGGGTACGAAAAGATCATTGCAAACAATGATCGAAATGATGAAATACTAAATATTAATTTCGGTCCTCCTAGAACTATGCACAGTAAGAGTCGATCACAAAGTCGTATTTCATTACACAGTTCTCTCTTAAATGTCTGTTATTTTTCTTACGTTATGTTCTCATCATTTTTATAATTATAGCATCAAGAAAACGACATTGAACGAATTATCATTATTAGCGTGATAATTTTATTCTTAGTGTACAGCGATTTTTAACTTCCGATCTTTAAATTAAATCGAAGAAATTTTAGAATTGTACATTAACCGCTATTTCATTTTGTACAATTTGTCCAATGACATTTTCCATTACTGAAATGAAATGAAGATTATATAACATGAAAGTCACCTGTAAATCATGAATGTAAAATTGATCTTACAGCATAAGAAAAATTTGAAGAAACGAATAGTAGAAGATAAAAAATTAATATAGCCTAGATAATTAGTTTACAAATATCTGTGTCACTGGAAGTTTTACATCTCAAAAATGTTTTGTAAAAAGAAATATGTACGTAAGTTATATAAAATGGGGATAATTGAAATCTAATCATGTACGAGGTATATGTATACACTGTACCCTATTGACAGTATTAAGAAAGTAATGCTGATATAAATATATTCAATGGGAATGTTATGTACATTAAAATTTTTTCTTTATCATACTTATATATTACATTATATTATGATAATTTTGAAATTTCAAAGTCATACGTTCAAATCATTGCCTAATTCATTTTGGTAATAAACAATTTTCGTACTTTAAACAATGACGGTATAATATTCGTAAAAAATATAATTTACCATCACGTTTGGTTTTCATTTAATAATTAAGATTTTCTAT